TTGCTTTGCAATAAGCCTTTGGTATCTGATCAAATTTCCCAAGAGGCGAATAGTAATGAGAGCGATAATGATCCATTGGAGAAATGGCATGCTCCTGCGGGTTTTAGCCTAGATTCTGATAATTCAACTTTAAAAAAAAATGCGTGAATTGTGAGAGGTATGAGGAAGAAATGTATAATGCAACTAAAATTATCACTAATCTTAATGCTCTCGTTCATTGCTACATTGAATTACCCAATAAAGAAAATAGAAAGTAGAATAGACAAACTTTATAGTTTATAACTCGTCAATTTTATATCCTGAATTTGATAAAATTTTCCTACCCTCTTCAACAGCACGTCTAAAACAAGCATGTGTATCAATAGAATATGCAGGCTTTTCATCTATTTTTTCTGTTAAGTCTTTGGTAATAATAGGCAAGTTAGATTTTCGAATAGATTTGGATCTCTTTGTTTTTGTTTGTTTACTTGGTTCTTCTGAAATATTATTATATAGCAATGGAACTTTATCTCTATCTAAAGATGGAGATTCTATATAAAGAACATCTGTAGTAGAATTTGATATGTTAGTATTGTTATTATATGTTTGAGGTATAGGTTGATCCCAAGCAACCCTATTAGCTTCTTCTCCTCTCCAGATTTGATAAATCCGTTTTGACGATGTTCTATATTTTTTTAATAAATCTTTTAAAATTTCATTTCTTGGTTCCATATCACGGCATTGCATAATATAATCATAATCTGCTGAAGAAAATAAAGGTGTGCCAAATTTTATACGTGGTCTAACCATATTGCTGAAAGCAACTACACAGTAGCTATTTTTATTTGGAAAATACAATATATTAAAATATAAAAAATAATGGAGAAAATCAAATATATCGGAAAAATATAATATATCGAAAAAATATAATATATTGAGAAAATATGTAGAATAAGAAAAGAGTTCCCTAATTTTTCGAAAAAATAAAACATATCAAATATATCAAATATTCCTATTGCTTTCAAAATTTTTAATTTTTTAACAAAGCAAATTTTACTAATATTATGGATATCAATGAAGAATTGCGTTATGGTGCAAAAATTATATCTGAATTAAATGTTTGCAATAAAACGTTGCGAGTTGATCAATTAAAACAAAATAAGAAGTGGGATTGGGAAAGAAAACAGTGGGAACAGGAGAGAAAAAAATGGAGTCAGAAACTAGGTGGGTCCAATGCTATAATCCAGAAATTACGTACTCATGATCTTGAACTTATTGATGAAGCTAGACATTTACAGATTGAAAACGCTAATAAAGACATTTCTCTTGCGAAGTCCAAAGCTGAGAATGATATAAAATCCAAGAAAATCAAATCACTCGAGTCTATGATCAAGATATTGGAAGGTAA